TGCAAGAAGGGGCGCTGTGCTGTGGACGGGGCGGCATGCCCTACCCTGACGAAGCAAACGCCGTGGGAGAGAGCGGTGCTGCAGCTGTTAATGAATGAGAAGGAGGAGGAGGAGGAGGAGGAGGAGGAGGAGGAGGAGGAGGAGGAGAGGAGTGGCCGGCGGCAGCATCCCGGCGACGCGGAACGCCACCGCAATGGTGGCAAGTACCACAGCAGCTGCAGAATTCGCCGGCCCAACGGGCCAGAGGCGTGCTAAGATCTCCGGTGACTGCTTTACAATCTTTCTACTTCGCGCGCGCGGGGCGGCCCCTGGGGGCCCCCGGGCGGAAAGTACCCCGGCAAGGTCCCGAGAGAGTCCCGGGAGGAGTCACCAGGGCGCTCCAGCAGCGCACCAACGCGGCTCCGAGACGTCCCCGAGAGCCCCAAGAAGGGCCAAGAGGCTTCCAAGAGGCCCCCAAGATGCTACATGAGGGGTCCGAGATGCCACAAGATCGCTCCAAGACGCCCACGATGGCCCCCAGACGCCCCAAGAGGCCTCCAAGAGCACTCCCGAGAGGGCCCCAAGAGGCAAAATTCACTGCTTTTCCTTAGGTTTTGGAGAGATTTTGGCGTTTCCACCTTTTCGGCTTCACGACACCCCAAGACGGCCCAAGAGGCCCCCAAGACCGCCCCAAGAGGGCCCAAGAGGCCCCCAAGAGGGCCCCAAGACGGCCCAAGAGGGCTCCAAGACGGCCCAAGAGGCCTCCAAGACGGCCCAAGAGGGCCCCAAGAACGCCCCAAGAGGGACCCCAGGGGGGGAACACGAAACAATATTTCGAGCCCTCGGCCCTCAGAAGTCCCCAGGAGGCCCCAAGAGGCCCCTAAGAGGCCCCAAGAGGCTCCCAACAGGCCCTCAGGAGGCCCCCAAGAGGCCCCCAAGCGGCCCCAGGAGGCCACCCAAATGCCCCCCCGAGCACGCAAGCAAGTGCCAGCGACGCTACACTATGGGCCGGCGGAATGAGCGAAGCGATTCAATAATCTTCTTCGTCACAGACAGCCGGGACGAGGTCGGTCAGAGTGGTGGTCGTGTCTCCGTCCTCCCCTGCTCCCCCTCCACCTCCGCCCCCGCCTCCGTCCCCCCTCCGTCCCCCTTGGCTTTCGAAGCGGCAACGGGCAAGGCCATCAGAATCCGCGAGCTCCAGGTACCTCAAAGGACGGACGGTGGAGGGCGATGCCATCAAAAGAAATATCAGGAACCCAAAAGAAGAGGAGGTGCCGGGCACTGCCATCATGTACAACCCAAGGGACCGAAGACAGCGAGCGAACTAGCCAACGCGTTGCTCTGCGGTTTCCCTCCGTCCCCCCCGCCTGCGGGCATCCCCCGTGCCCAGTGAATTCCGCCAGTGTTGGCGGGGGCGGATCTTTGTGAGGACCTCTATATAAATTGTCGAAATTGCATTCCAGGTGGGCAGGTTCCTGTTTTTTCTTCCAGGTGCAGGAGGTCATCGGTTGAACACATCCTGAGCAATTCCTCTTCCTCCTCTTCCGCCTCCTGCCCCTCATCCTCCTCATCATCAGCATCAACAACAACATCATCATCATCATCAACAACATCAGCATCATCAGCATCAGCAGCAGCATCATCCGCATCAGCAGCAGCAACATCAGCACCATCTGCATCATTAGCATCATGATAACCACCATCATCATCATCAGCATCATCATCAGCAGCAGCAGCCTCATCATCATCATCATCATCATCATCATCATCATCATCATCCTCAGTTTCATCATCATCAGCATCAGCAGCAGCATCATCATCATCATCATCAACAGCATCATCATCATCATCATCATCATCATCATCATCATCATCATCATCATCATCACCATCATCATCAGCATCATCATCATCACATTCATGTTCCTCCTGCAACTCATGTTGTCCTCATGCTCATCCTCTTCCTCCTTATCCTGTTCCTGGTCCTCCTGCTCCTCCTTATCCTCATCATCATCATCATCAGCAGCAGCAGTTCGTCACTATCATCATCATCATCATCAGCATCATCAGCAGCAGCATCATCATCATTAGCATCATCATCATGATCATGATCATACTCATCATCACCATCATCATCATCATCAGCATCATCATCATCATCATCATCATCTTCTGTATCATCATCTGCATCACCATCATCATCAGAATCATCAGCATCATCATCACCAACACTACCACCGCCATAATCATCGAAATTATCATCATCAGTATCATCAGAATCATCATCATCAATCAGCACCATCATCAGCAGCATAATCATCAACATCAGCATCATCTCCGTCACCAACATCATCATCATCATCATCATCATCATCATCATCATCATCATCATCATCATAATCGTCATTATCATCATCTTCATCAGCATCATCATCATCCGAATCAGCATCATCGTCATCACAGTCATCAGCAGCATCATCATCCTCCGCATACGTATTAACATCATCAGCATCATCATTAG